TAGGCACACTTTTCCATACAAGAGCCACTCTGGTGTGGTGCTTAAGGTGCTACATCAGTGGTTCTCAACCTTTTTAATGCCGCGACCCCCAACCGGTCGTAAGTCGAGGACTAAACTGGTCGTAAGTCGAGGACTAAACCGATCATAAGTCGAGGACTACCCAACCGGTCGTAAGTCGAGGACTTTCCCTGCCCGGGAGTGCCGCGCATGCGTGGTTCCGCCCCCTGCGCCGGCCGAGGCGTAGCTGGCAAGCGGCAGAGACGGAGCAGGCCGACCACCAGCTGGCCCAGCTCAAGGGAGGTAAGGCACCCGCCGGAAAAGGGGGAAAAAAATGGCGGACAGCCTTGCTTGGCGACCCCCGTGAAATGGTCGATCGACCCCAAATGGGGTCGCAACCCATAGGTTGAGAACCACTGTGCTACATTAAAACATAGGAGATCATGAGTGCTAGCCCTCTCTCAGGCGCAGAAGCTGGCTGGGTGATCCTGAGACTGTCACTCACTCTCAGCTCAACTCACGTCAAGGAATTGGTGATATGGGGAAAATAGAAAGAGGAAGCTTTATGTACACCATCTTGAATTGCATCAAATAAATGGTTAGCAGAGATTAGGCTCAAATACCTGAAAGGGCTGAAAAGAGCTGAGATAGTTGTTTCCAGTCAAGAAGGAAAGTTCTCCATCTAGGAAGAGAGGTACCACTTTTGACACACTCTGAGCAGCCAACCTGCCATGATATAACAATTGACACTATATCAACACACAGAAATGTCAGAGAGTAGTGAGAGAGATTACCAACACCTCTCCTAATCTTGGATCTACATTAAGCAGAAACCCAGTCTTATCCAAATGAAATACTAAATTGTACAGCATCAGTAACCACAGGAAGGGACATGTTACTCACTCTGGGCTTAAGTGTATGCAGGCTGCACTGATGACTAACACCATGGATGATAAAGCTTCTTCTGTTAGCAGAACTTTGTTGGGTGTTGTTTGAGAATTTTCTGAAAGTGGTAACAGAAATTGAGATGTTAATTCTTATTAGTTCTTTTCAGGGGTCCTTCCAATGTATTGCCTGTTAATGGCTGTTTCATAGAGAAGAAATTATAACATAAGAAGCAGCTCTGAACAGATGAAGAAGGAATAAAGGACAGCCCAACATATGAATTTAAATACACAGAACATATCTCTTTTCTTGTTCAGAACTCAGAAGTATGAAGACAAATAATAGCATTAGTCAATCTAGGACTGGGGAAAAAACAATCCAACCTTAACTACAGGCACTGCTTTAGTTGAGAGGGTGTAAAACCTTGAGTATTTCTGCCATCCTACCTTCCAAAGCAGCCTGCACTGCTAAGCCTAGCAAGCAGGGCACCACCGCCTGATGGAAGTACCAATATGTCTGAACATTTTGCTGGCACTGAAGGGCGACCTGTTGCAAGCTGTGGCACACAGATACCACTGAATTATTACTTGCTGGCATTTTGCCTGCAAAAATAAGAGCAATTTTAAAACCCACAACTCATAGTATTAAAAAAATAGTACTTTTTGATAATTCATATATTTGAAAAATGATCAATACATTGTCTGTGATTGATTATCACACTGTGGCATAATGATTAAAAATGCATCATTGGCAAAGCTGTTACGCATGCAATCATTTTGGTCCTCTCCACTGCAAGTAATCAAACCAGAAAGTCTATAATTTCTATAAAATGAATCTACTCAAAACAATAAATTTTAAATCTGTACTGACTTCAAAACCAAACATTCAAAACATATTTGTTTTATTTCATACTTACAATGTTATACCACCATTTGGAGACTGGAATATTTCAAGGTCAAGCCT